GAGAAATAGATGTATCTAGACGTATTTTAGTTATAGATACATTCATATATATACCAATTTGGGACACCTAGGTGCCTGGGCACCTTGCCTATCCATCGTTAGATCGTGTTTAGCGACAGATTTGGAAACTAATGTAAATAATTTAATTACTAGTTAATTTGACAAGCTTTAATTCTTTAACTGTTCCATGCATGCATATCACATCATAGAAAAGGAAGGTGATTAAAATACCATAGTGAATAAAAATCAACATTTATTACCTCCTTATATATCACTTATTGATTCGTAGAATAAATCACTACGTATGTAAAATACACATGTATATTACGTAACTTTCGCACTAGGTATACACATACCCACCATCTAATTGGGTATACACATACACATACCCGTACATGTATCTTTTTTCAAGGCACACTCATATATACAAAAATTTGTTAGTTGGTAAATGCATACCCGCGTATGTACATAATTTCGTTAGGGTATATGCATACCCGCATATGTACATAATTTTTTTGGTCGGTATATGCATACCCGCTTATGTATATAATTTCTTTTTTTCAGGGGTATGTATATAATTTCGTTCGTATTTTCACAAAAAAAAAATCGTTCGTAGGTATATGTATACCCACGTATGTACATAATTTCGTTAGTAGGTATATACATATTCGCTACGTATATAATTTCTTTAATACCTAACACCTAGAATAAATCATTGGATATATACATACCCGTGTATGTACATGATTTCATTAGTAGGTATATATACCATGGGTATATTTATATTATTTGGAGTCGGCGCAGAATTTGTTGATATAGATAATAAAAATATTTTGTCATTAATATCTTAGAATGGTATCAACTTTTATGTATACATTTAATCATCTGTGCCTAGAAAAAATTCACAAGCTGACGAGTCACATTGTGCGTACATAATATATTTGTTTCCTTTTTATTCTGCCATTCTCTCTCCACCAATTAATGTTTGCCTTAATTCTATTCAAATCAATAAATACAAATGGGTGGACATGCGAGCTATTAAATGCTAGGTGCCTGGGCACCTAAGCTATTAAATGCTATTCGTCATCCTGGATGATGAATAGTTATTCTTCATCCCCTCTCTATTTTGACATCAATGCACCATATTTATACGTTTCGTAAATTTTGTCTTATTTCATACATAAAAAGAAAATGTAAGAAAATATATACTTGCCGTAAAAAATATTTTATGTTACATAAAATTACAATTATAAAAATATAGTGTAAAACATACATAAAATGTGATTTTTCTGGTTTATAACCTATATTTTTAATTTTTTATACCAACTTTTACATATTGAATCAATATGCATGTAACTATTTATATTCTAAACATAATTTATTTAGGAAACGAACATAAGATTACCTCGGGTGAAAAATAACTTATTTTGTACCCTGGGTGATGAATAGTACCCTCCGTCTGAAAATACTCGTCGAAAAAATGGATGTATCTAAATATATTTTAGTTCTAGATACTTTCATTTTTATTTATTTCTCCTGATAAGTATTTGCGGATGGAGGGAGTATATTACTGGTTGTTGCCTAGTTTATGAATGACAATAACCAAGTGAACAACGTAAAGCAGCCAAGAGATACACGGCGACGGCACCACACTGCTAGCTGGTCCAACGGGGATGTCACTGGCTTCCTGTCCGTGCGGCACCATCCACCGTCAAACAAGTCCAATCATTTATTTTATTATATCAGCATCTGCATGTTATAGTTTGTCCCGCCCTCGCTCACTTTGCACCGCCAACTGGAGTAGATCATTAGCCCCTTCAATTCTATCGTCTCTTGCAGGGCTCGGACGTTCACAATGGCCTCCCAGCCCCAGGCGTGCAGCCTCCCGATCCACACCGCGCCCTCCCCCGATGCCAAGCCCCTGGACGACGACGACCTCCGCCTGCGCAGACGCCGCCGCCGCTGCCGTTGCATCTGCGCCCTGGTCACCCTCGGCGTGCTCCTGCTGCTGGGCGTGACCCTCCTGGTCCTCTTCCTCACCGTGCTCCGCGTGCGCGACCCCAGCACGCGCGTGCTCTCCGCCCGCTTCGTCGGCCCCGTCCCCAGCCTCGCCCAGCCCAACTTCACGGTGCAGCTCACCGCGGCCGTGCACAACCCCAACCGGTTCTCCTTCTCCTACGCCTCCGGCGCCGCCGAGCTCTGGTACCGGGGCACCCACGTCGGGGACGCCCAGGTTGACCCCGGCCGCATCCCTGGCAGGGGGGACGAGACCGTGCAGCTGGACATGACGGTGCTCACCGCCAGCTTCACCAAGGACATGGCGCAGCTGATCAAGGACATCGAGGCCGGGACGCTGCCGCTGGACGCGAGCGCGAGGATCCAGGGGAGGGTGGCCATCTTCGGCGTGTTCAAGCTCAGCGTGGTGGCCTACTCCGACTGCCACGTCGTCGTCGGATTCCCGAGCATGGACATCCGAGGCCAGGAGTGCCACGACCACGCTAAGCTCTGATCGGCCGGCTTGGCTGTTTGTTCGTTTTATGGAGAGCGTGATCAATGGTTTGGGAGTTATGTGAGTTCTCTATAGCGTTGATTAATTGTCGTTATGTCTTGGTCTCATCGTATACAGAAGAAAAAGATTGTTGTTATGTCTTGGTCTCATCGTGTACAAAAGGATCATGTTTGTTAAAGTCAAGCGTTTGAAAACCACCAGGCATTGAAGCAATCTTTTTACAGCCACAATAGCTATATGTAGGTTGACTGAATTTGCAATTTAGATAAGTCGATTTTGTGAGAGGAGTAAACGGTTGAAGGAGGAAAAAAGTTGAACGAAGAAAAAAGAAGCACGGCTGTTGGATCTTGTACACCCCACGTTATGAAAACGTCCAGCACTAACATGACGCAAATGGTGAAGGGAAAGTAACAAAAAAACCTGCTCCACAAACCCAGGTCTTCATGGCTTAGATCGCTTTCCACGAGAATACAATGGTCAGAAAACATGTGCACGGGGGCTGATCTAGCAAGGCGAGTAGTTGGCGAATGTCCAATCTTGTTGTGTTAGTTTCCAAATAATTACATACTCCCTTGTAAACTAATACTCCATCGGTTCCTAAATACTCTCTCCATAAGTCTTTGTAGAGATTCCACTAGGTGAACTACATACGGAGCAAAATGGATGAATCTACACTTAAAATGCATCTATATACATCCGTATGTGGTTTTTAATGAAATCTTTACAAAGACTTATATTTAGGAACGGAGGGAGTATAAGTCTTTTAGACATTTTAAATGGACTACAATATAGGGATGTATGTAGATATATTTTAAAGTATAGATTCACTTATTTTGTTTCGTATGTAGTCACTTGTTGAAATCTTTAAAAAGATTTATATTTAGAGACAGAGGAAGTACTAAAATTTAGTGATCTAAACGTCTTTATATTATTTTATGGAGGAAGCATTTTTTGTTAATACTAGGTCGTGGTAGATTTTCATTTCTCTACGTCATGATGGCTTCCCCATTGACGTTGGGTGGGCAGAACCAGGATAAAATATTAAACGGCTAACACCAGTGACATATATACTCCCTCCGTTCCTAAATATTTGTCTTTTTAGAGATTTCAAATGGACTATCATATACGGATGTATATAGACATATTTTAGAGTGTAGATTCACTCATTTTGCTTCGTGTGTAGTCACTTGTTGAAATATTTAGAAAGACAAATATCTAGAAACGGAGGGAGTACATAAGAAAAACTCTCTTGATTAGGGCATCTTCAACAGCAGTCCCCAAACCCCTCTCATATGTCCAGCCAGACACTATCTAGACAAAAAACATTGGCCCAAATGGCCTTTTCAAACATCCTCTATTTGTTTGCACGGCCGGACCGTTCCAAACCCTGTTCGGACATGTCCACCATGTTGGACCCGACATACCGGCCCCACCCAATCTCACGAAATCGACATTCCCAGGAAAAACTTGCTCGATGTCCTTGGTCCTGACCCCACCAGAAGCATGTTCCCTGACATGATCGATGCCCCAGACGCCACCCTTATATGTCATGGTCCGGCCGGCCGGCGCCAGCATGCACGTGACACACCAAGTGTTTGACCAAATGTTCGAATAGATTTTGGCACTTTTTGTTGCAAATTTATAGGGACACCCAATTGGCTCAAATGATGAGTTTATTTACATATGAGTTTTATGATTCATTGTCATCAGACAGAGTTGATGATGACTACAAGTTGTTGATGTTGATGATGATGAGCATCCTCAAAAGAAATGGAGAAGGAAGAGAGGGCATGTTCTCAACTTCAAGGGTTTGACGATGGGGAGGATAAGCGTTACGTGGAATAAGACAAAGGGCCATGTTGATCTCTACAACGACTATTTCAAAGCCAACCCCATATATCATGCAAGGGCTTTCTTTCGGCGTTGCTGCTGGATGCGCAAGCATGTGTTCTTGCACATGGTGGAGGCTGTGAAAGAAAATGATAGTTACTTCACGATGGAGAATGATTGCACTGGAGTGATTGTATGTCCTCCTCTCCAAAAATGTGTTTCTGCTATGAGGATTCTTGCATATGGCACAGCTACAGATGTCGTTGATGGGTATGTCCGTATGATAGAGTGCACATGTATTGAATCAGTGGTCAGATTTGCCATCACGGTGGTGGAGGTGTTTGGACCGGAGTACTTGAGAGAATTAAATGATGAGAATACAAAAAAGCTTTTGGCACTTCGAGAAGTAACGGGCTTTCCTGGTATGTTTGGTTCTGTAGATTGCATACACTGGCGGTGGAAAAACTATCTGCATGGTAGGTTTGCATGTGCAATACCAAGGTCATACCAAATATCCCACCATGATACTGGAAGCAGTGACATTAGAAGACTTGTGAATTTGGCACCCTTTCTTTGACATGCCGAGGTCTCACAACGACATCAACGTGCTTTAGCGATCTTCTTTGTTTAAAATACTTTGTGGTGGGCAGGCTTAGGAGTGAAAATACATCATCAATGGGCACAACTACACCATAGGGTACTATCTTGCCAATGATATCTATGCTCAATGGGCTGCGATTGTGAAGACTATCTCTGAGCCCCGACATAACAAAGAAACTCACTTTGTTGCGGTGCTAGGAAGGATGTGGAGAGGGCATTTTGAGTGCTCCAACCTTGTTAGGATATTTTTTATGGACGTGCAAATATGTGGGATCCCGAGACATTGTGGAAGATGATGACTTGCTATTTTATCTTGCATGGCATGATTTTGGAGGATGGGGGTGATGGTATATGCAATGTTGATTTTGAAAAGTCTGAATAACATGTACACCTCCTAGAACAACAAGCTGAGCATGTTGCACATTTTCTGAAGATGCACCGGCAAATTGGGATCGAGAAATGCATCAACAATTACTCAATGATCCTCTGGATCATTCGTGGATACATCATAGAAAACATTATATTTGTGACTCTTTGAATTTTATGTCTAAACTATGTACGTAGAAAAATATTTAAGTTTTAATTATGTATTTTTAAATTTAAGCTATTTATTTCTATGTTCAATCTATATCTTTGTAGTATTCAACAATTTTGGTTGAAAAAATGGAGAAGGCAATAAAAAAAGAG